ATAACAAGATAGGCTAGATGATGGCAGTTTTGATGATTGGTTTTGAATTACTCTGTGCTACGGGGAAGATAATATTGTAGGCAAAACAATATCCCATTCAAGATTCTTCTGATTTTAGACACTGCTCCAGTATATCCACACCATATAGGTCACATGCATTCTCACATAAAGGCTGTGTATTTGCCACTGAACATAACCACACTCATTTGATGAGTAGATCAATATAATTTTTTTTTTTTTTTTTTTTTTTTTTGGTTTTTCTCCAGTACCAGGAACCAAACTCACGACCTTGCGCTTGCCAGGCAGGCGCTTTGCCGCTGAGCTAAATCCCCAGCCCCTGATCAAGATAATTTTGGTTAATTGTTCAAAGCATACTGTTTGTACCAAATGCTTGTGCAGGCTGTGAAAGCCATTGGATCTGTCCAAAGGCTCTGAGAGCTTTGGAAAAGTTTCACTATTGTAAAACCTATTCAGAACACCAATGAAGTACCAATGATTTCTTTCTATGGAAGAAATCATAGATATCAGTCTATGAATGGTATTTAGAAGAAAGTTTTGATAATGTGTGAATACATTTAAAGGCTTTAACAAAGATTTTCTTGCTCACACCAAAGTAATAAGATCTTAGTTATTGGGAAACTGTTGAAATTTGATGCTGAGGAAGAGGTTATTCATGAGTTTTTTGGTGCTGTGGCACCAAAATCTTTTCAATGAGGAACTGATCAAACTGGAGGAAGAAAAAAGTGAAGTTGAGGCAAAGGAAGAACAATATATACCTGAGGTGCCAAGAAGGCTCACAGTCAATAAACTGGTGGAGGCAGTTCCTATTATTAGCAGTGGTGTACAGATGTTAGAATAACTGAATGTCAATTGTAAGACATTCTCAAAAACGGACAGGCAGATACAGGACGTTCTTGCTTGTGATAAAGAAATACTTAATGAAAAGAAGAAAAGGACCATACAGTCAAAATTTCATTTCTTCCCGAAGAATATTATTCTTGCCAAACTATGAGCAAGCATTGACATGTCTTTTACAAGAGATTCTCATGTCTCATCAGCAGAGAGAGAAATCAGTGATCTTCTCACAGCAGCATGCTCACCAAGCAGCATTTAGTTTTTAGTTCACTGCTTCAAACACTCCTCAGGCGCAGTGTACTCTCAGCTGTGTTAATTAATGGTGACTATTTGTACAACTGTTCTGTTTTTCAATTTCGGTAGAGTATTAAATAAATGATGCAAGATATTTAACACTTTAGTACAATGTAGGCTTTGTGGTAGGTGATTCTGTCCAAGTGTGGGCTAGTATAAGTGCTCTGAGCATGTTGAAGGCAGGCTAATCTAAACTGTGATGTTTATTAGGTTAAGTGTATTAAAATGCATTTTTAACTTACAGTATTTTCAGTTTGGAATGAGTTTATCAAGACATCACTCCATCGTAAGTTGAACAGCATTTTTAGTTTTGATTGCTTCTTACTCCGTATAAGTAGGCCATAATTTAAACATTTCTTTGTATGGCTCATAATCTTTTGGTAAAAACTTGGCAGTTTCTAATAATGGAATTTGTCAACACTTCAAATCAGATTCTTGAACCTATGAAGATGTTATTGTTGCTGCTGTTACAGTTTGTTCAGGTATCGACTTTTTGAACTGATTTTCTACAGTCTGTATTTGTGGTATGTGGTTACTGAACTCTTTTCTCATTCGACTTAGTTGTCACTCCACGATTGAGTAGAGTTCTAGGAAGCAGTTAGTCTCCCAGACTGTGACAGTAGGTCTTTGAATGCGTTAGGGCATGCCTATAATACTGAGGAAGGTGGCTGATAACTCTGCCTTCCTTTTCACTTTCTGCGGGGTTAGCCAGAGGTGGAAGCATAGAGCCTTTTCAGGCCTTTCCTGTACATTCCTATAGTTATGAGTATGCAAACCGCTGCAAATACCCCCGTCTGTGGACTTCTAGATTCCCACGGTTATGCAGAGCTTTTCAAAGCTTTTATGAATATTGCTTGACATCACCTTTCCTTTAAGCTTTTCAGTTAGTCTGTTGTTTACTGCAACTGTTATTCAGGCAGCTATGGTGTTAAATAGTTGACCATAATTATTTTCAACAGGTGCTCTGGGTGAAAGTGATTTTTATAATGGGTGAGCTCTGAATCTGGTGAAATGAACCAGTAAAGACAGTCTTACAAGTGGGTTTTTTGGAGAAGCACTAGGCAGGTCAGAAAATGATGATTTTCTGGGAATGACACTTTCTCTGTTCTCTGGTAGCTGGAGGTTGCTGGTTTTCACTGTTATTATGTAATATTTATTATCAAGTCTATTGCAAAGCTGGAGAAGGGAAATGGGGACAGACAACCACATTTCTGTCCTTACTGGAAGTCAGAAAGTTTTCTTAAGTAAGTGCTCTTCAGATGGTCGTGGGCCTTGGCATAGTTTCCAGAATGTCAAAAAAATTTGTCTTTCACATTTTGGAGAGTTTCCTTGTTACTTTTATGGAGAAGTTTTTGGAACTTCTTACTCTTCCACATTTGCTGATTTCAGTGTTGTTCATTTAATCATAACCTAGATTACAGCATATTCTGATATTATCAATAGCTAAATGGATTGCACACTATTGGATATATTTGATACTGGATATATACATATTGTTAAGATTATCCTTAGATACTTCCTTAAGTAAGTCTTTCTTCAGAGTACAAATCAACCTGTTTTATTCTGCATTTACTGTTCCATCAACCCATCCACCCAGCCCTCCAGCCAGTCAGCCAGCCACTAGGCAAAGGCATGTTGAGCATTTATCATGGTTAGATCCTTATACTATATAATTGCACACACTAGTGGTTAAACTGTTTAGAAACTGAAGAATTCTGATTTATTTTGAATAAGGTAACAAACAGTGAAACTAATGTCACCTTGAGAATAAGAGATGTAAGAGCTAAACATTTAGCAGAGTATGTAGAGTAGAAATAGAAAATGTTCCTAAGTAGTATGTCCAAGAGGAAGATTAGAAAATGGTCAGTGATAAGCTCTTGGGTTTATGAGTTTAATGTGAAACCAGTCTATTAATGAATAAAACATTTTTTCCTGCATAAATATTATAAAAATTTTAAAAGTTTACCTTTAAGAGAGCAAGGAAATGAAATTCTAGACTGAATCCTTTTGTGAGGTTTGGACTATTCATGTTCATTGAAATGGCTTTTTTCCTCCCTTTTCTCTTTCTATAGAAAAGTAAGAAAAGTAAATGATGAATTATAAAGTAATCCCTCCCTGAACTCCAAATTGATAGTAAGAATGTTAATAACAGTCTATTTTATATCAAAGAAGAAAGTTTAAGGTAATTGAAATGGAAATGTGTGTTTAAAGTGTAAAATCCTTTTCTCTATATTCTATTTTTATTCATTTTAGGCAAATTATTTTACCTTAGTACGTATTTTTTTGTGTGCATTCTTGGGAGGGTATTTCAATATTTCTTCTCAAACCATTTTCTAAAATAATATGAATGTTCATGTGAACATATACATTTTTGAGATGATGGATAAACTAAATATCTTGAATTGATTAATATACAATGTATAAATATATTAAAATATCACAATGTGCCTCATAAAAATGTATACTTATGATCCACCAGCTAAAATGAATAAATAAATAAATACATTATAAAATTGAGATCAATAATCACTATTGTTTCTTCATTTAACCTTTGTTAAATATATTATTAATATTGAAGAAATATTCACTTCCACTGGGGAAGAAATGGATTTTGTTCATAGAAAGTATATAATTCTTCTACTTACCTGATGCAGCCAGTCATTTTTTTCAATGTTAAATACTGGAGAGAGAGAGAGGTGACAACTTGGCTTAAATGACACATATGGCAAATTGTTTGTCTGGCATTCTAATCTGTAGACACATTATTTGAAGTAGAAAATCAATCATTCTCTCTGCTCCTGAGAGTGGGAGTATTCTGAATGCATGTAACAGCAAAGAACTGTGGCTGAAGTCTTACTGCAAATGAAAGTAGAGGGATGAGGCTTTTCCAAGACTATATTTCTATTCTCCAGCTAACGGACCACTATTGATGGATTCTAAGCAGTGATGGTACATAGTAATTTTCAGGGAAACATGACTCTTGCGGCTCTATGGTGATAGCTTGATCAGGCAACAATTACCTCTTACAGGAAGATATTCTTCATCTCATGTTGGATTTTGGGGATGTTACTTACAAGGTTACTTTGCAAAACTTTCCCATCTGGTCTCCAAAATTAAAGCTGTTGCAGTGAGAACCTAGAGGATAGTTTAGGTCATGTTACATAACTCAGGATGGACTTGAAAAATGAAATGTGCTATATTTATACATCACTAATAAAAACACCAAGCTTGTGACTGCTCTCTGACAATTCTAGGTAATGCCATGATGAATTATTGTTTTAGCTTGCAGTTCATTTATATTAACATTTCTGTCCTTACAACATTTCAAAAGAGGGGCACCATTTAATTTATTTTCTTTTTTACATCTGTAATATAATAGAGAATGTTCTGTATTTCAGGCAGTTTTTCTTTTTATCTCGTATAACTCTCCTGTGTATTATTACTACCTCATTTAAAAATAAAAAATAACCAATGCCAAGTTAAGAAATTTGGGCTTTATTGAGAAATAACAGGGGTAGAATTTGAACCTAAGACTCTAACTCCAAAGCCCTTTCTTTTCAATATATCACACTCCTCTTGGATAGAGTATGTAGTTTTAGTGTCATTTTCCTATGTATAGGCACTCACTGAGTACTTTTTCATTGTCTGAAAGAATTAAAAGTTTGCATACAACTCCATCAGGAAAACTTAGCTTACTGAACTGTTTAGGTAGGGTAGTCCCTTGTTTCCTTCACAATAAAAAACGGTACAGAAGAAACAGAAGACTTCTGCCTTGCACCGTCTTACATCACCCTGCAGACAATTGGCAGCTGAGCGAGGGACAGCTGCCACAGCCTTCAGATACCTCTCTATTTAAAGTTCAAAGAGACACTGGATAACAATAAGGAACAGGTCAGTGTGGCCCTTATCAAGCCACTCAACGGGAAGAAGAATGGCTGAAAAAGGTAAGGTTTACGGCTCCAGGTTCTCCTGGGAATAAAGGCTTCTGGACTTTCTTCTGCTTGTGCTTCTCGGCATTTTAATTTTGAAGATGTACTTTTCTACTAAACGATCAGAAGCCGTATATTTCAGTGTGGCTGCAAAAAGGCATTCGATGGATATGCATTTTAGGGACAATGCCTATAGGTGATGAATAATTTTGGAAAGATCGAAAAAAGCCCTTAATTTTGTTCATGCTCATTTTGAAAGGTGAGTTATAAATCAGTGATTCACCAGTGCTGTGCAAATTGGAAGGGAGGAAGGGTGCCAGGTCAGAATTTAGAACGGCTGAGTTCTGTGTCAAATCTACTAAACGGTCATATGAGTTTGGACAAGTCCCTGTACGCCTCAGAGCCTACGCACTGACTGTAAAAGGAGAATATTGGACTCAGACATCTCTAATATACTCTATATCTAAATATATTTTTCTGAATTTTAAACAATTTTCATATCTATACGTTTATATAAAATAATTCACTCATGATAAAATAGTCTGAACATATTGGTGTTTAAGAAACACTTTTAAAATAGGTTCAAGATGGGCTGGGGGAGTGGCTCAGTGATAGAGTCCATGCACAAGGCCTTGGCTTTGATCCCCAGTACCACAGGAAAAAAAAAGAAAACGAGAAAAAAATAGGTGCAGGAAATTTTGATTTTTAATCCTGGCAACAACCTTGCAAAATAAACACATTAACATCATCATCTTTGTTTTATAGATGAGGAAACAGTGAAATTTAGCTTTCCATGATCTGTGGGCTGCAGAGAGTGCTGATGCCAGGCCTTGAGCTTGGGCAGTCTTGCTCCACAGTGCCATGCCCTTGAGAGTATTACCGACTGTAACCACTTTGATACTGAGAACTCGACGAAGAGAGGAGCATTTTGAAATTACTTTGCACATTACAGAGCAGTTTTGTTCTCTTTTGCGTGGTTAATATAAGTGACTTATGTAAAGTACATCTAATTCTTGTGTGTTCCTATTTCCAAACAGTGCTATTGACTGGTGAAACTCTGTTAAAATATTAGTGTTAAAAATACTTGGAGTGCTAAAATACACACTAGCTATACTGTTTTACCAGGAATAGTAAATAATGTGGTAGTTACTTTTAGAACTTTATTATAGGTAAATTTTATTAAAATATGCCTCATTAAATTTTATTAAAATATGTATAAAACCTTTATAAACAATTGAGATATCAATATTAATTTTTAAGTTATTTGAAATTGGAAAAAATACTAAGTCACTCTCTTGAACAGTTCAATAAAATGACTGCTATGTACTTTCTCTATAATGACTACTTACTTCATAAAAAGGCATTTGTCCAAATGAGAGCAAAGGTTATTTCATAATGTTTGTGTTACCCTTAAAGAAATAGCACATGGCAGGTGAAGAGGATATGTTTTTATTTAGTGGTTAATTTCTTGTTCAAGTTCACAGTAAGGTGGAGAGGCAGGGGAAGCCTATTGTATTTGTAAGTTAAAAGATACTTCAACATTCTTATAAAAATAGATTGAAAGTATTAAAATTCATTTAAACTTCAGAAAATTTGCTTTTATGAGACTATCTTCTATTTATAGAAGTGTCTCATCTCCTAATGACTTTAATAGCATTTTTAAAAACCTTCACATTTTAAAGTGATGGCAATTGTAAAGAGAATACAATTGCTAAGAACATTCATGCTCTTTGTTAGCTAATTGCCTAAGCTTCAATTGTACTTTCCTTTTTTTTCAATTGTACTTTCCAATGAAAATATATATCTAAGTCCTTAACACAGGGACACTAGTTCCATAGGATGCCTTCCTGTGCTGCTTGTGAATTCTTCTGTGAGGTGTACATGTGGATGTGTGTGCTTGCATGTTTTGCTTGGAAGAGCAAGATTAAGATGCAGTGAGTTTTTAAAAAGTAGAAACTTTTATAAATTGCTTTTTATAGGTAAGTGTATAAATAGGAGGTAGGTAGGTATTTCCATGTGGGTGGTAGATTATTACTGCCTATAGATAAAATTCAGTGATAATTATTACAATAAACAAGTTTAAAGAAATAGAATCTCTTTTTCTTTTTGAGAAAGATTATATATGATACTTTTCTTTTCCTGTGAAATTTAACGTTGAAGTCAGCAATTGAGAACAAGAACAATTCTGTATGTTGTGCTTTAATTAGTTTAGTAGGAATTCCCTCCGAGTTGCATTGAGTTGTTATGTAAACAACTGCTTGATGCATTATTACACAAATACACGAATGTGTTCTGTATACAGTAAACACAGAGACTGTGCAAAGCTTTGCACATATTATGTCATCTTACCATCACCATTCCAAGAGGGGGGTATCACAAATTCCATTACCCATAGTTTACAAAGACAGAAGTTCAATATTTGAATTGTCCAAGGTGACATAACTATAAAAGGATGACCTTGGCTTGAAAGTAGGTCTTCTATTCTAATCGTCCAGGATTTGTAACCTCATCACTGGAATCCTTTGTGAAAAAAAGGAAACAATTATATACGGATATGAGCAGAGGGTGTGTTTTTCCTTAATATTGCCAGAGTCTTCTCACTTTGATGCAGAAGATTTACTACCCAAGTGACCAACTGACCCGCTTTCCCTGCCTGTTTTTAAGCAGAATATACACTATCAAACCTTGTGGTTCCTGTTCTTCTCCTGATTGGCTGGATTGTGGGCTGCGTTGTAGTGGTTTATGTTGTCTTCTCTTAAAACGGTAAGAGTTTTAATGATTGAATACATTTATTCATGGAATAAATTGGGCCAGAAAAATTACTTTCTAGTTTACTAATGGAGTATTTTGTCATTTAGGCAAGAAGACTTCAGATTTATGTCATTTGGAAGAGTTAAGAAAAAACATGAACATGACTGATTATCGACTATGTTGTGTTTAATAATAAAATGACTGACATCACTGTATGAGCTTTGATTGTAAACTGATGCTTTCATGTGCTTGAGACACTCTTCAAGAACTTATTAAAATTATGGGTAAAAAAAAGAAGTATTGAAAAATATGATTGAACCCACAGAGTTGGAAAAATGTTCCTATTATGATTAAAATACATATGCAGTAGTAAAAGTATGATAAATATAATAATATTCAAAACTGTTTTGTTCTCTCCTCCCAGAAAACTACAAAAAATGGACTAGAAAGAGTAGAAAATTCACTGAAAACAAAATGTAAATGTAAACTTGGCTCTTACTTTCTTGCTTGTAATAACATAAATGTAATTTCAGTTATACCAGGGAACTGTTGCTCTGTTATCACATGGAAGAAATAAAGATATTCGACAACATATGTGTTAATCAGGCTGAGGAGACATAAATATTATCATGTGCTATCTTTGTAAATTCAAAATAAATTCATAATATCACAACATATTTTTTTGGGGAGAGGGTAGTCTTGCTATATTGTCCAGAGTGGTTTTAAATTCCTAGACTCAAGTGATTCTCCTGCCTCAGGCTTCCCAGTAGCTGGCACCCCTGGAACATGCCACTGTACTGAGTCCAAGGTTACATAACTATACAACTATAACTATTTGAATTGTCCAAGGTCACATAAGAGAAAAGGACGACCTTGGTTTGAAAGTAGGTCTTCTATTCTAATCACACAGAGTTTGTAATCTCACTGGACTCCTTTGTGAAAAAAAGAAAACTAATTATGTGTGGATATGAGCAGAAAGTGTATTTTTCCTTAATATTACCAGAGTCCTCTCACTTTGATTCAGAAGATTTACTATGCAAGTGACCAACTGATCCATTTTCCCTGCTTGTACAACATTTTTAGGGGTATTTAATAGTCAGCACCTGCCAAACTTTCATATCATTTAACTTTTGGTCTACCTATCAACCTTCTAACAATGTTGCAGTTTCCACAGATACACTGACAAAATTGGTATACACACAAGACTACTCATTCTGGCATGATTTGATATTGCAAAAACCTGGAAACAAACCAAATATATGTTAATATGGTACTTACACTAAACTGTGGTACATATACATGATGTAGTGCTTATGGAGCTGTAGAAAGAAATGAAGGGAATCTTTATATGTTTATATAATGTGATCTCCAGGAAACTGTTAATGGAAAAAGTCAGGTATAGAATAATGTTTGCTAATCTTTGTGTAAAAAAAGGAGGGCTGGCATCAATACATACACATGTTGGCTGTAATAAGATATTTAAACAGGACAAAAATGGAGGCTAGATAACTATGAATGTACCTTGTTTTCTAGTTTTTATTTTTGGGATCATGTAAATATTATTTACATAAAATGAAATGTTATTCTTTCAAATTTAAAACAAATTTAATGGCATATCACATTGGTGGCATGGCTATGAAGAAAAATTCAATCTTAAAAATGACTGTAAAACACAATATTTTATCCCATATCTCTTATGGGATATGGGATAAAAAGCTTAAAACCACACTGAGTGGTCTTTTGTTAGTAGTAATATTTATATTGTTGATTTGAAAGCCAGACCGTCAGCATAAATGTCAAATTCATGGTAATCTTAAAATTCAATAGCAAACATTATTAAAATCTCACTATTTATTTTCTTTCTCCTAAAACAATAAATGTGCATCCTACCTCTGCCTGCTGAAAATGCCTAGCAGTGATGAACATCCTAACTTTATTTTGTCTTAGGTACTGTTTACACTCAAAGGAATCAGGGATCCTGCCCTAGTCTGGAGCAGGAAATGTACATGTGGTTTGCAGTTACTTACTGGATAGATCAGTTGTATGAGACCTGTGCCTAGTGATCAATTTAACAGCACATCATGTGCCTTTTAATAGAATACAGTAGAAAATATATAGGGCCACCTGTGAAGTAGTTTTGCCAAAAACATATACCTAAAGTGAAACAAGTTTCTGGATCATTCTACCAGCCTATTTGAATCAAAATTACAAGGATGCATTCAGCTAAGTTCAGGGTGTGGAAAATTATAAAGAACACATGATCTGGTTTTCCCAATAACTAACTAGTATAAAGAGGTGGGGTAGGGAAGGAACAACTTACAGAACTGAAAGATAACAAGTAAGTTCAATGCATGGACACACTACAAAGACATTACATTTTTAAATTTCAGTGATAATGCTTTTTAAGGAATTGTTATTCATTTTTTCCCATTATATTAATAGCAACTGAGAATGGAAAAGAAAAGGCTCCTATCTCTTACTGATACATACTGATGTATCCGCTGGTGAGATGATGGGAATTTCCTTATATCATCCCTATAAAAATCAGCTAAAACAGGGGATATGAAATAGACAGGTAAAAAGTTGATTTTTTAAAAATCTGGGTGATGATTTAGTGAGGATTTATTGTGCTCTTTGATCTGCTTCAGTGCATATGTAAACATTTTGTAAGAAGCTTGTTTCTTTGCTTCTCCAATGGCTCTGTGTTATGAACTACAATTAATGCAAACAAATAAATACATTAGAATAAAATAACATAAAATGAAACCTACATGCATACCTGAGCCTCATCCCTAAAGATTCTAGGACAGAAACTTGCACTTTACCAAATCCCTTCAGGAACATGCTGGAATTTGAGAACCATTGCTTTAGAGAGGTTGGTCTCAGAATTAAGAATAACACTCTATCACCTGGCATGTTCCCCTCACCCCAGCTGCTAGGCAGTCTGAGTCTGGAGGATCATTTCATTGAATTCAAAACTACTGTGGACAGCATAGCAAGATTCCGCCCTTGCCCCAGTAGATTGTGCTATTCTGAAATGGTAGCACCATAACACTATACCATAGAGAATTTAAGACACAATTTGGGTCTCATTCAAGTTTTTGATTCAAAAGTTGGGGGATCGAGAACTTAATTTCTGACAAGTTTTAGGTGATTCTGCTGGCCCAGGGTCTCTACTGCTGTAGGAGAAACTTCATTTCTTCCTCCTAACTATATCATCCTCTTTCTTTAAATTAATTTTTCTACAGATATTGATTTCCTTATCAGAATGTTAAAAATGTTTTTACTTTATTCACTGACTCTTATCATTTTATTTATTCATCTATTTTTTATTTTAAAGAGAGAAAGATAATGAGACTGAGTTTTGAAATGGGTTAGTAGGACAGTTACAATAGTTGATACGTTGCATATTGTTATCTTTGGTTTAGTTAATCAGAGTACAAAATTTAAGCATGATATGTTGTCTAAACAATATTAACAGAAAACATTCTTTTCAAGGAGCTAAGAGAAGCTAGCTGTATAACTACCTTAACTATCTTGTGTATATATATTTTTTCCCTTTCTTCCTTTCCTCTTTCTCCCATTGCAATTTGTCTTTTCTTTTGAACATTTTTCCCAGTTTACAATATCTATTGTATGTTTCAGATCCAATTGTCTTGTTTAGTTTCTCACACTGAGAACAAACCATGTTTTTCTTAGTGAGACAAAACCATGTTTACATATGTGAGTCTGATTTAGTTCACTTATGGGTATGGTCTCAAGTTGCATCCATTTACCTATACAAGTCTCCAGTTTAGTTTATGGCTTAGTAGTACTCCATTGTAGAGAAATACATTTTTTTTATCCATTCCTTGGTTGATGGGCATTTGGGTTGTATCCAAGATTTAGCTATTACAAATTGTGGTGCTATAAACATGGGTGCACATAAAATGATGTTTTTAATTCTGGGAAAATACCCAGAAGGGGAATAGTTGGGTGGAATGGGACCTCTAATCCTAGTTTTCTGAGAAATCTCCACACTGATTTCCACAGTCGTTGCACCAGTCTACACTCCCACCGACAGTGGAGAAGGGTTCCTTTTTCCCCACAGTGCCTTCAGCTTTTGTTATTGGTTGATTTCTTGATAATAGCCATTCTTTCTAGGGTGAGATGGAGTCTCAGTGTTGTTTTAATCTGCATTTCTCAAATGACCAATGATACTGAACATTTTTTCATATAGTTATTTGTCATTTGCATTTCTTCACCTGAGAAGTATGGATTCATGTCAAATGTCCATTTTGGATTGGGTCTTTAAATTTGGGGGGGGTCTGATTTTTTTCAATTCTTTCTTTCAAATTCAGTTAAATATTTCAAAAAGTCTTCTTGATCTTCCATTTAAAGTGGTATTTACAAAATTTAGACAAAATACACACACAATTATGTTGAACTATTTTCATTAACCACTTGACTTAAATTTAGTTTTCTCAAAACCTGAGAAAAAATAATTCAGTATTTCAGCTGAATTAGAGGTCTGCTAGATCTGGTTATTAAAATTTTGAGGGCTTGTGTTAGTCAGTGTCTCACTGGCAGCTGGAAGTTGGCCATGGTGCAGTACAGACACCACAATGACAGATACGATATATTAGGGTTTGCTCCCACTCTTACACATTTATCAGCCTATCGTTCCTTGAATCTTCTTGCTTATAGAAGCTTCTCAGGGCTTCAAGACTAGGTACCTTTGTGTATTCTTCTTTCACAGTTAATGCAATTAAAGTTATAGTCTCTCTATTCACTTGAATGTCTTTCATGCTATCGGGTTTTAATGAGATGTCTACAAAACTATGAACTATCTCAGAAACCATATGTTCATACAAAACTGTAGATAAACTTTTAAGGTGTTCATGGACCCCCTGAATTCCATTGAAAAGACATACTATTTTACATAGCTTCTATGTTTTGAATCCTTTAGACAACTTTACAATTTGGCTTTGATTTTACTTGGAGTTAAAGTCACAATCTCATGTTTTGGATTTCTTCCTAACCAGAAATAAGGTTTTCCTTTTTGAAAATATTTTAAAAATTTTTTTTGGTTGAAAAACTATGTAATTTATAAGGTGTAATCAGATGGTTTAATATATGCCCACCTTATGAAATGACTAAATTAAACTAATTATATCTACTACCTCACATACTTATCATTTGTTGTGGTGAGAATATGTAAAAATCTACTCAGGAATTTTCAGATATATAATACAATACCATTTAGCATAACTACTCTCTTATAAGTCAATAGTCAGCTTATTTCTTCTTGCTCCCTGAAAGTTTGTATCTTTTAATCAACATCTTTCTGATTACCCCACCATCTGCAGGCCCTGATAATCACCATTCTACTCTCTGGTGCTATGAGTTTGACTTTTTTAGATTGCACATATAAATAATGTGATTGTTTGTTTTTCTGTTCCTGGTTTATTTCACTCAATATAATGTTCTCCAGATTCCAGCTTTATCTACGTTTTTGACAGAATTTCCTTCTTTTTTAGGATCGAATAATATTCCATCATGTACACATGCCACATTTTCTTTACCCAGTCATCCACTGGTAGTTATTTAGATTGATCCCATTGCAGATAGTGCTGCAGTGGCCATGGTAGTGTAAACATCTTTTTGA